TCAGGAGGCTGAGGCAGGAGAATTGCCTGAACCCAGGAGGCGGAGGTTGCGGTGAGCCGAGATCGCGCCATTGCACTCCAGCCTGGGTAACAAGAGCGAAACTCCGTCTCAAAAAAAAAAGAAAAGTATTTTCAACTCTGAAAACCTTAGCTAGATTTAAAGCAAAGACCTAACTGCAAAGCTATTTTGCAGCGCACAATTCAATTTAAATGAGGATGATAGCCAGACTTGTTAAGTCTTTAAAGGCAGTAGGCATACAAAGGAATATAAACAAATCATCCTCCTATTGCCATTTTCAGTATATCCAGGTCATTAACAAATTTCTGCAACCAACTAACTTTCTGAGAGATATAGTATAATACTGTTTATATGTTCCTTTTCAAATTTCTAAAAAACAAAACAAACAAAACCATTTAACTGATTCTTCAGTTATTGTTTTTCTGTTTATCCTTTGTGGGTTTTTTTTTTTTTTTTGTTTTTGTTTTTTTTTTTTTTTTGAGACAGAGTTTCGCTCTTGTTGCCCAAGCTGGAGTACAATGGCACAATCTCGGCTCACTGAAACCTCCACCTCGCGGGTTCAAGCAATTCTCCTGCCTAAGCCTCCCGAGTAGCTGGGATTGTAGGCATGCACCACCATGCTCAGCTAATTTTGTATTTTTAGTAGAGGCGATGTTTCTCCATGTTGGTCAGGCTGGTCTCAAACTCCCGACCTCACGGGATCTGCCTGCCTCAGCCTCCCAAAGTGCTGGGATTACAGGCGTGAGCCACTGGCCCATTATTGTTTTTCTAAGGGGGACAGAATTATCACAGGAGAGTGTTTTGGCTGCAGGTAAGCACATATGTATATACCCATCTTCTGTATGGTACCTCTTGATTTATGGCTATATTTAAACTTTGGTTTAAAAAAATGAGATCTTGAAACTTTGTCGCAGGTACGTGGAAACTTTTATGTATTCCAACCACCCTTGCTATCAGATAACAAAAACTAAATAGAGTCATGTTCCTTAACTCCATACAGCAACAGCAGAATGGCACAAGTCAGCTGTGCAACAGAGAGCCAGGAATTCTTTTGCACTACAGCGTAACCAAGAATGGGGAATATTCCCATCCACAGGTTTAAATATAGTGCTGGTTTCTAAGCCAATATCCCAAGTTATTGAACAAAGAATGACCATAGCTATATGCTGATTCTGGAATGTTTTCCTCCTAAGAAATATGTGATGGTTTAGAAAGTACAACACTTGAATTTTGTTGAATAAGCCTCAGCTCAGTAGAGCTTGGCCTTAAACTGCACAGAATCCTAGACAACAGCTATTCCACAAACAGATTTAGAGTCTAAAGGTATCTGGCACTTGAATATCACAAGATACAAACAAAAACATCCAGGACAGTATTGTTTATAATAGCTGAAGCGATTAACCACTCAAATGCGCACTAGCAATACAAATCCATACAATGGTTTTCTGTCAGACTGTATTTTCTATTTTTTAAAAAAGAGGAGAGAGGGGAGGGAGGCGAGGGTGCGGTGGTGACTCATGGCTGTAACCCCCAGCACTCTGAAAGGAGGCCCAGGACAGTAGATCACCTAAGGTCAGGAGTTCAGGACCTGCCTGGCCAATATGGTTGGGGGGAAAAAAAATGTCTCTACTAAAAATAAAAAAATTAGCTGGGCATGGTGGTACGCCTGTAATCCCAGCTATTTGGAGGCTGAGGTGGAAGAATTGCTTGAACCTGGAAGGCAGAGACTGCAGTGAGCAGAGATCACAACACTGAACTCCAACCTAGGAAACGTAGCGAGACCGAAGTCTCAAGAAAAAAAAGAAAAAAAAAACCCGGGGACTACAGCAAAGAGCATTATCATGAATAATATCCAGGGTAGAAAAAAAAAGCACGTGAAAATGATGTAGAGGGTGACACCATACAGAATATGCTCAGCAATATTATGCTGTTTATGCATAACAATGGTAAAGTTCTAAAATCATACATGGCATGACAAAAACAATTCATAATAGTGGTTACTTTCAAAGAAAATGCACTGGGCATGCCTATAAATTTAAATTCTTCATATAATTTAGTTCCAATGTAAGAAAGAAAATCTAGAGCAATTTCCACAGGTACCTAATATTGATAACATACAAGGGAAAATAGCAAAAATCCTACCTATATAATCAGCCATTTCCAAATTTGAAACAATTTAAAAAAATATAAGAAACAACTCTTACTTTAATGTTTCTATAGGTCTCATTCAGAACCATCTTGTTAAATTCAGGATTCTTCAGTGTGTCAAGGAAGTTTGAATACAGGCTATGAAAGTTTGGCTCAATACTGACTCTCTTCATAACCAGATACTGTGAAACCCATGGCATAAATTCTTCTTTCACAGTTTCCTTTAGCTCTTCAACCTAGCCGGTCAATATGATATGGGAAGCACAGAATTAAAATAAGATTTGGTTTCTATGAACCATACTATACAGCACCTGGCTCTTTGCAGAACTAACTTATATGCTAAAGCACGACTATCCTTCACACCACATAGACGCTACAAAGAAGAAGGGTATGCTCAATTCCACAGTCTATCAGAACTCAACCTGTAGGTGACTGGCACTGAAACATCTATGGTCATTTTCAGCTGTAAAATTACAAAACATGTGCAGTCCCCCTCTCCATGTAAATTACTGATCTACAGTGTACCCAAAGATGGTTCCAGAACTATGTTTTCCTAAATTTCCATCTCTAGGAATCCTTGGCTAACTCTGGCGTTTCCAAGTGCAGTTGACCCTTGAACAAGGATATGAACTACAAAGGGTCAAATTAAATGCCGATTTTCTTCTATTTATACCTCCGTTACCTCAGAGACAACAAGAGTTCCTCTTCTCCTCCTCAAATTATCAAACATGAAGATAAAGATCTATATGATGATCCATTTCTACTTAACAGTAAATATATTTTTCTTCCTAATAATTTTCTTCATATTTTTTTCTAGCTTATTTTATTCTAAGAATATAGTATTACAGGCATATCAACTATTTGTGTTCAACAGCAGGCTGTTAATAGTTAAGTTCTGGGGGAGTAAAAAGTTATGCCAGGATTTGGCTACATAAAGGATTGGCAAAAATAACCCCCCATGTTGCTCAAGGGCCAACTATACTCTTTTACCATATAATCTGAGGAGGCAAGTAGAAATCTTTATGCTTTTCACAATGTCTGCCTCAGTTATTAGGTTGTAATAAATATTCTCAATAGTCATTGGGAGAAATTGAGTTATGACTAATGACTAGTACAAATGAAACTTTCTAACACCATGAGAACATTAAGCTTATTTCAAGAAGCCTATAAATCACTGCAAAACTAAACCTTAAAAACTGGTACTAATGTCTAACAAAACCACTAGTTGAATATACACATTCCCTTTGCTTTGATTTTATTACCTCTACCTTTAAAGTATTTAAAAGGGTCAGCAATATATCCATTTGTCCATTAAAAAAAAGAGAAGTCATTTATAAACTATGACAGCATTCTCACCTTTTGTGTCATATTTGACTGTGAGAGATTATTGAAAATAAAAGCAATTTTCTCCTGGATATTTTCCGGGGGCTCCACAATTCTCTCAGTTTGATCTGTGGCCACAAGCAATGTATCTATATTTGTAGTATTGATAGAAGGCTAAAAAAAATAAAGTACGTAAAGCAAATAAGTTGAAATGCTTCCTTGAAAAAAATCCAATAATGTACACAAATTTAGTATTAAAAAATACACATGGTATGATTGTGTATCAGAAATGTGGGGAAGAACAGTGAACTATTAATATGTTTGCCTCTGGGAAACATAAGGATGGGAGATACAAAGGAAGAAATGTCAGTCTTTTATATCTTGTTTAGTAGGCATGTGTTATGATAAAATTCTAATACATGCTCACTACTGATTTATTACAATATAATCACAAATCCTGGAAGAGAAAAAGGAAAAATCTACTTACTGGCACATCTTTCTTAAAGCTGACTCCAGTTGGCCTGGTTACCGTAACGGTTTTAGCAACAGTAGTGGTTGTTGAGGTGGTTACCATAGTGCTAACCTGACCAGCAAGAGGAGCTTTTGCTGGAACCTGTGCCTGAGCCTGGGCCTGCGCCAGCGCAATACTTCCAGGGGTTGTAATAGAGCCTTGCATTTTCACAGGAGGATCTCTCGACTGCTGTCCATACTCGATATACTAAAGGGGTAGGGACAGGAAAAAGAGTTATCCTTAAATGCTAAGCCTGGATTATATGTCCCTCTTTTCTGAGACAGTAAAAACCATTTGAGTACACTTTTGGTTCATCTAGCTCCCATCCTCTGCCCCATATCCTGGCACTAATACATAAGTAGATTTCATGAATCTCCTTCAGAGATAAAAATCTAAGTAAGTTAAGGTATTTATGAGAGAACTATAGCAAAACAACTTCTAGAGGCAGACCCAGATATATGTATATAAATGTCTTTAAACTCCTTAAAAATGCAAACCTTAAAAGTCTTAATAACTTCTATAGTAAACTCATCTCTTTTCTAATTAGACAGCAATGAGAAACCAAAGGCCTTAAAAAACAATACAAACACCATGGTAGTATGAATTATTATCTCAATAAGGCTGTTATTACAAAAAAAATAACTCACTCTATATAGGCAAGCCAACTAAAGGATAAGCAACACCAATAATGAGTGTTGTTTTTAGGGCAGGTTTTCCCTTCCATCTTACAGACCTATAATAAAACTCCCTCCTATCCCCACACAATTTAGAGGGCTGACATAAGGATCCTCAACTTATTTCAACAATCCTTACCTAATCTACCAATTATGTATACAATAGTTTTATTTTTAGAGGGACATTTCTAAAGTAAAAAAAGAAAGTCTCTGAAAAATAGCCCTTTATGTTGACAAAGTACAGAAAGTAATGATCTCTCTCTCTCTCTTTCTGGTGCTAGGGACTAGTGTTGAGTGATCACTCTCCTGCCACCTCACGTGTTCTGAATCTTTAAGGCTCCATATTCCTGTCTCTAAATTTCTCTCAGTCCACTCACTTGAATGAATATACTCCACATTCCCAGAGGTTAAGTCATTACAATAACCCTGCCCTCCTAATAAACCCAGAAGGATGAAATAGAAAGCACTGAACTAAATTAAAATACAGAATATCAAACAGGTTCAAATTCTGATCTTCCTCGTGCCTTAAAATATGATCTTCTAAAGTTATTTCTCTACTGCATGTTAAAAATAATTAACCAACATTCCTGTTATATGTAAACTGATGTTGATAAAAACCAAGACACAAGTATAACTAATGCTTACCAGTTAACCCAAAATCAGTCACTAAAACAATGGTTCTCAAATCTCAATAACAATCATACAAAATGGTTTAAAATGTATATTCCCTACATCTGTTTTCCAGAGGACTGACTCCTTTTAAATAAGCATCTCAGGCGGCTTACACCTGTAATCCCAGCACTTTGGGAAGCGGAGATAGGCAGATCACAAGTTCAAGACCAGCCTGGCCAATATAACATGGTGAAATCCGGTCTCTGCAAAATTACAAAAACTACCTGGGCATGATGGCAGATGCCTGTAATCCCAGCTATTTAGGAAGCTGAGGGGGGAGAATCGGTTAAACCTGGGAGGAAGAGGCCGGGCGCGGTGGCTCAAGCCTGTAATCC